CTCATATAACCTGAAAAGACTATGTCTTGAAAAGATGTGGCCTCTAAGAAATCGACATGTTTTAGAAATGTTGAAAAGGTCTGCTGTTTATGTCAGAGCTCAGGGCAAACTCCTTGCTGACTGCAATGTTGCTGACAATTCCAATCTTTAAGGATGCTAAGTGGTTAAAACGAGATGAGTTTGTCTAACTCTTCCCCCCAGATGTTTACTACTGAGTCACCTGCAAGGCTCATTTATTCAAAGAATGCTAAAATAAGGCAGAGCCTGGGAGACACTCGGATGGGTCCCAGTGTGTGAAGTCCTTTTGAGTTGGGGAGTCCCCCAAGACTTATCTCACTTCTGGACTCAGCTCCCACCTCAGATATAAGCAAGAGCTAACTCCAAGTCATTCTTCAACAAGAGCTATGTTGATCATCCATCCTAGGTTTTCTAGGTACATCCCAATTCCAAATATTATTTTATGTCAAATTTTAATACTTGCCACTAGTGCTCCGAGAGAGCGTACAAATTCATTATCAGATGAGAAAGAGCTATCACCCTATTGAATACTCCAGATTTCTGGACAGTCCCAAATACCTGACTTCCTTTCACACAGTATGTCCTGATTTTGTACTTGCAGTCAGTCCACATCAGAAGCTTTACCTGCTCAGATTTCTGCTATTACCCAACTCCCAGCAGCTCTACACATCAGCCTGGACTCCGCCTTGTCCACTCCCAGGACCTCTCTCGAGTCTGAGCCCTCCAGCCTCAGCCACTGGGACACACTCAGGCTGTGCTCATCTACTCCCAGTTACAGCTCTTGACTTGTAGCTGGCAGATGCCTGCTTACCCCCAGCTTGAAAACACAAAGAACTTAGTACCTGGCACGTCAGATTCAATGACTTCTCTCTCTTTTTTAAAATTAAACACAATTTTTTTTTAGAAATTTATTTATTTATTTATTTTTAATGGAGGCACTGGGGATTGAACCCAGGACCTGATGCATGCTAAGCACACACACTACCACTGAGCTATACCCCCACCCCCATGACTTCTCTCTCAATTTGTCAACCCAACATCACTCTCTTCGGACAGTAAAAGTGTATGCCGCATTGCTTTATCAGTGAAAAAACAAACGTAGCCTACAAGATTAGCAAGGTGGGTTTGCTTTAAAAAAAATATGGTATAATCACAATATAATATTGTCATTGAAGAAAGTTTACTCAAATGAATAAGTTAAGTAAAACACAAACCTAACAAGGTATAAAAGAACATAATCACAATTCTGCTAAAAAAACACCCACCACCATCAACAAAAAACTCCACACCAGTAATAATGTTTATGTACACATATAAAAAGGACCAAAAAGAAATAATCCAAAATGTTAATATTAAGGTGTGGTGGGATTATAAGTGACATTAATTTTATTTGTGCTTTCTGTATTTAAAAGTTTTTATATAAAAACATGCATTGCTTTTGTCATTTTAATGTTATTTTAAAAACATTCCATGGAATAAATTAACATATAAACATACAATATAAAGCAGGTTACTGCATAATTTAGGAGTGAAAAATCAGAACCACAGAGGAATGAAATAAACAAATCATATATTCACATGACAGACTATTATGCAGCCATTACAAATGATAAATCTATAAGGTATAAATTATATACAGTATAATGTTAATTTTAGTAAAAGTATCAATAGAAAAAAGGCAAAAATTCTATCAAATTGCTTTTGAGTGGTGGGTGATTTTTCTCTTTATAATCTCAAAATTTTCTACAATTTGAAGCAGAAATAACTAAGTGTTCTTAAAGTGTTACTGAAAGTACATTTAATACATCAAATTGTTAACAGTGGTGACTTAGGTGGAGGATGAACAGGACCCTGGGAATGGGGTTTATTCTATAGTGTATGTACTTACGTAATGAATCGTCTTGAACTGGGAAATAGGGTCGGGTGGTTTAGGGCCAATTTATGGAAACATGGGACTCCCAGCCCCCCAAACCTGCCTTATTTACTTATTTTTTTGGACATGCCAGACACAGGCCAAGATAAATCTCAGCCTACTTTGGTCTGGGAGTGGTGGGGTGAAGGCAAAGAAGTCTGCTTGAATTTCCCTGTCCTCAGGCTATCACCTCTCTGCTCCAGTGGGAGGCTGAGCTGCCTCCTCCCTCCTGCCCCCCTCGCCTTTGGGGAGGGTGGTCTCATGACCAGCAACACCAGCAGACAGGCACATGCCCTTCGGGACACAAGGCATGCTTCCGAAGAAGACTGCCCATGGAGATTTTTTTTTTTACTATATTTTCTTTGCCACACTGTAGTGCTCAGTTCTCAAAAATAAGTGTGCTGGGGAAGAAAAAGTACTATGAAAGAGGAATAAAAGGACGGAAGAGAAACAGGGTGGTCGGGGGATGGGGGAGGACTCTCAAGGGATGTGGAAATGGATAAAGGTAAGGAAAAAGGCAGGAAGTACAGAGGAAGGCGTTCTTAGCACTGCGCCAGCGCTCTCCCACCTCTGTGCTGTCTTAGTCAGTAAGAACGTGTGCTTTGTTTTGACAAAAGCTTGACAGCAAAGCGAACCGGCAGGAAGGTGAGTGCAGTCGGTGGAAGCAGCTGCCAGCGCAGGGGTTACAGAGGAGACACAAAAGGTGGGCAAGTGTGCTCAGACTCTCAAGAGTCCACTGCCACCAAAGGGCCACTGTCAACCGCAGAGCACAGCAGGTCAGCAAGTCCAGCTTTATGAACGTTTCAAAGTATTTGTCGTTTCCGACCACGTACTGAATGTGTATAATTAAGTGTATCTCCTGAATATTCAGTGTCAGGCTTTATGTGATGAGCTCTCAAATGCATGTTACTGCACCACTGACAACAGGAAAAGCCACCTCCCTTCCAGCAAGACTTTACTAACCAGCTGACACGCCTGCAAAGCAGACCACAATGATTCCGGGCCCTAAGAGAAACCTTTTAAATAAACAGGGTACCAGTCAGAAAGACCACAAGGCTTATCTTTCAGTCTCTAGGATGCAGATAAAGGAAGAGAATTCCATATCAATGTCTAAACACTCCAGAGGACCAGAAGGCCGCTAAGTGCCTGTTAGGTCATTATTTCAGAAACTAAAAGCAGTCCTGGCCCTGTCTGGTCACGACAGCACACACTCTTGCCCTGTCTCTGGCTGCGGACAACTCAAGCCCGTGCGCACAGCATGCTTCCCTGGGGATACCTCCCGGATGCTCCGGTAGGGCCAGGCCTACAGGGGCATCCTGTTGCCTTCGATGCTGAACTTGACAGCACGGTGCACTTTGCTGAGTCGTTTCTGTTCTGCAAATCGCCTCTTATGCTTTTCCAATCGGCTTAGGCCCTTTTTAAGAATACCAGGCTAGAAAGAGTAGTTTGAATGAAGAATAAAAACAGATTACTGACAAGCAATGAGGATCACCAACAGTATTTACAGTGATGGCAGAGGACGCATCTGCACACTCACAACAGAATTACTTAAAACGTGAAGAACCAGAGGGGCAGGTGGCAGAAGCAGGCGAGCTGTTTCTCAGGGCTCGAAAAATAATGACTGGACCAGAACACTCCAGGTGTCCAGATTCAGTCGAAATACAGGGATCAATAAAAAGAAACTTCCCAACTTGCTGCTTTTAGTCTGAAGTGAAAGCTCATCAGCAGTAACTGCTCTGGCGGACAGGAGACCAGAAAACAGCTCTCCTTACATCAGACAAGCCCGAAGAGCGTTAAGGGCTATAAAACAGGAGAGGAAAGACCCAGCAGCGCCTCGCGCTTGAGACCCGCCCTGCTGTGCCCCTGCTCGCTTACCCTGGACGACTCCATTTCCACGTTCCACTTGGGCCTGACCACGTAGTCCTTGTTTGAGGGCATGGGGACCCTCGCGCGGGCACAGAATCCAGGATCTCCAGGGCGAAGAGCCCTGCGAAGGGGAAGAGGAGCGCGCTGCTTATGCAGACAAGAACGGGGAGGGGGGCCGATCCCATCCAGCTGCAGGTCTGTTTCAGCCCCCTCTGCCCTCCCACGGTTGCCCCTATGCCCTCCAGTCGTCCGTCTTAGCTGGCCCCAGCATCGCTCCTACTGCCGTTATAAACTCCTCGAGCTTGCTCCCAAAGCCTCCTTCCTCTGCACATTCAGGATTCCTTGTCACCTCTCCTCGGCTTCAGGAATCACCACGGCTCCCTCCCTTCTAAGGCTGGTTCCTCCACCAGGACTCTGAATCTCAATTTCTCTGGTCTAATGGAGTCGCCCACATGGCCACTTGTGAGGTAACAAACCAGGTAATCAAAATGACCCCCCAAACTGAGTATGCCCATCAAGCAGCTTACATGGTTTTGCACACTTAATGCATTCAGTAATTCCCTTATCTGTTTCTAGCTTTCTTAAAAAAATTCAAGAAAATTACAATTAGCATGCAGTTGTGAGAATTAATACAGAGAGATCCAGTGTCTCTCCCAAAGGCAACAACATGCAAAACTACAAAACAGTATCATAGCCAAGATATTGACGTTAATATAATCCATCGAGCTTTATTTACATTTCCCTAGTTTTACTTGCACGGGTCTATCTGTGGGTGTCGGTGGGTGGGTGGGTGCACTTAGTTCTATGCAATCTGATCGCACGTGCAGGTTCGGGCATCCACCCCACGACCCCACCCCTCCAGTTCCCCTTTTATAAACACGTCCACCTCCCTACCACGTGTGCCCCAGTCCCTAGCCCTGGTGACCACGAGCCTATTCATTTCTGTAATTTTGGCATTTTAAGAATGTCATATAAAGGGAACAATACACCATGTAACCTTTAGACTGGCTTTATCCACTCAGCTTAATGCCCAAGGATCCACCCAAGTTGGCACATGTGTCAGTATTTTGTTCCTGTCAGTGGCTGAGCAGTATTCTGTGGTATGAATAAACTACAGTCTGTTTAACCATTCACCTGCTGAAGGATATCTGGGTGGTTTCCCGTGTGTGTGTGTGCATCTGGCGGGGTGGAGAGGAAGAGGAGACTAAAAATTTCAAAATTTTTTCTATTTCCTTGTTTGGTTTACTCTATTCTTAACATCAAGCTTCTGTAACTTTCAATACATGAACAGATTAACTGACTAGAAAATTTCCCAGAACTTTTACTTTCCCTCTGAAGCCACTGTCCGTCTCATCAGTAAACCTCCCTGTAAGCACACGACACTTGCTCCCTCCAGCTCATTTCTCGCTCTCCTTCTGCAGTCCGGGTGCTGCCTGATGCCGGCTCCCACTGCGCAGACCCCTGGGCGGCACCCTCTCCACCACTGCTCCTCCCCCCAGCAACACCGCCTCCTCCAGGTTCCCCTCCAACGTGCAGGACCACATCTGCTCACTGGCTACTCTAGCTACACCCTTTTTCAAAGCTGTTCAGTTTAACTTAACTCTGTACCTCCTTGATTCAAAACCTTGTCTATGGAGATGATAAACTATCAAGTCTCTGTCTCTAGCCCAAATTCCAAGTTCTAGATTCATGATATTTATAGGACTATCTCACTAGGCATCTTGTATTTAATATGCTCCAAACAGAAGTCACCTTTGTCCTCAAATCTATTCCTCCTCTCCATCTTAGTGACTGGTAATACCACCATCTCAGTTACTTAAGTTAAAATTCTGGTTGGAATCTTCACCCAGTGAGCCACTCACTCCTGGCCATTCTGCCCTGCTTGGTCCCCTCACTCAGCTGCTTCTCCATTACAGTCTCAGTTTAACTGTGTCCCTGCCTTCAGTCCCTCTGCCCTGCGACCCACCCTACACCATATCAGTATTCCCAACAGAATCTGGTGACTTCGTGTCCATGCTCAAAGCTTTCTAGGAAATCACAAAGAGAAGTGAAAAGTCCCCATCCTGATTTAAAGCACTTCAAAATCTGGTAACACCTGCACTTCCAATTTCACCTTCCACCATCTCAGGCAACACATCGCCACCTGGCCACTTCAGTCTACCTGCCGTCCCTAAAACAGGCCTTGCACACATCTGTGCTTAATCTCTCCCCTTATTACAGAACCCTTCTCAAGACTTTCTGGGAGAATGGACTATTTTTAGTTTGACTCAGGATTTCCAGAGCTTAACAGACAGTCTAGTACAGAGCAAGCAGCAACAAAATTTTTACTGAGTGGACTATTTCTCAATCTCTTTACATCCTGCAGAGCACCCAATACCATGTGGATAGTCAACAGATGTCACTCTGAAAATCATCCCCTGCCAATGTGAACACAGCATCATCGAATCTGCTATTTTTCTTAAATTAGCAGCAAGCACAACATTCGCTACTTTGTCTAAAAGAAAAATCAATACAAAAATCTTACTTTTCCTCTCCTGTCAGCACCTTTTCCAGATCTCTTCGGGGTGTCTGACCACCAGTGCTGGGAAAAAAGCAATTGATGAGATACTAGGAATGTTAGAACCTTTTAACTAAGAAAGACAGAGCAAAATGTAATATCCAACTTAGACCACAATTACACTGGAGCAGGGAAAGTGATCCCTAACCCCGTACTTACTGGGAGTAGAAAGTACTACTTATCCAGGGGTCACCTGTGCACCAGGTCTCACCGAGCACCGGTGAGCAGCTCCCCCTGTATTTGCAACTAATGACCCTGCTGTCCCGGATGTAACTGCACCCAGTTTACGGACACAAACTGAACCAGTAACTTTTTTTTCCCTCTTGAGAATTTGAAAATGGGACTGAGAAAGAGAAAGGTTTTCTGGCAGGTGGCTGGAACAACACAACCACCTCCAGAGCGGTGGCAGAGGCCAGATCCTGCCCGAAAGCCTGGTGGCGAGGGTGGTGCACCTTTACTGTACCCGAATTACAAGACACACCAGGCTGAAAGGAAAGACAAAATCCTGCAGGTTTCTTAATGATCTTATTTACCAAAACCCCCCCAAACAAACAAACAAAACAAAAACAAACAAAAAAAGCCACCACCAACAAAAAAAATCACCCAGAGTTACGGCAACAATATTCACTGCACTTACTCATACCTGTTCCCTCATACCTGCTCATTCTTCGCCGCTGAGGCATCTGCTCTAGGTCTCTTTGCTCCCTCTCCTCTCTTGTCATTCCTTTGTAGTTTGAGGTAAGACCAAATATAGGCCGAGACCATTCATCTATAACAAAGAAAATTAATTATTTAGTCCATATGGTAGCATTTCTATCACCATTCCTTGAAATAATCACACCCGAGGGTAATGTCATATTTTAGGTATTTAAAATATTCTTTCCTTAAAGATACCACTGTTTCAGGACCCTTTGTAGGATCAACACAGCATAACAACAGCATCACAACATGCTCCAGCTGATTCAGAACATTCACTATAAAAAGATCGTTTAGATTCCACATATGAGTGATATCATATGGTATTTTTCTTTCTCTTTCTGGCTGACTTCACTTAGAAGGACATTCTCTAGGTCCATCCATGTTGCTGCAAATGGCATTACTGTATTATTTTTATGGCTGAGTAGTATTCCATTGTATGAATATACCACTTCTTTATCCAGTCATCTGTCAATGGACATTTAGGTTGCATGCCGTACACCAGAAATGGACATATTATAAACGGATTATATTTCAATTAAAAAAAAAAGATCATTTAAACCTGTAGTCACCACAGAGGTTTAAAGAAAGTAACATCTGACTCTGATAGTCATCAACCAGCTGTTATTTGTCTCATTTCTAAATTTACTCTCCTGAAATCAGAAAACCTTTTTTTTCAATTGAAGTATAGTTGATATGTAATATTGTGTTAGTTTCAGGTGTACAACATAAAAGATTCATGTTTTGACAGATTATATTCCATTATAGGTTATTATAAGATACTGGGTATAATTTCCAGTGCTATACAGTAATCCTTGTTGGTTATCTATTTCATGTACACTATTTTGTGTCTGTTAATCTCGCACTAATTTGTTCCTTTCCCCCTTCCTCTCCCCTACAGTAGCCATAGTTTGTTTCCTATGACTGTGAGTCTGTTTGTTTTGTATAAAGATTCATTTGTATTATTTTTCAGACTCCACATATAGGTGACATCACATAGTACTTGTCTTTCTGCCTGAATTATCTCAGTAAGCATAATATTCTTTAGGTCCATCCATGTGGCTGCAAATGGCAATATTTCACTCTTTTTACTCTCTCAAAAAACCAGCTCTTGGTTTGATTGATTTTTTGTGTTTTTAAAATCTCTATTTTATTTGCTTCCTCCCTGATCTTTATTTTATCTTTCCTTTTGCTAACTTTATGCTGCGTTCGTTCCTAATTCTTTTAGGTGGTAGGTTAAGTTGTTTATTTGAGATTGTTCTTGTTTTCTGACGAAGACCTGTATTGCTATGAACTTCCCTCTTAGGACTGCTTTTGCTGCATCCCATAGATTTTGTGTGGCTGTATTTTCATTGTCATTTGTCTCAAGGTATTTTTTAAAATTTCTTTGATTTCATCATTTACCACTGGTTTCCCAGTAGCATGTTGTTTAGTCTCCATACAGTCAATTCTTCCTCATTTTTCTTTCTGTGGTTGATTTCCCGTTTCAGCCACTGTGGTCAGGAAAGATATTCGGAATAATTTCCATTCTCTTAAATTTGTTGAGGCTTGTTTTGTGTCCGAGTATGTGGTCTATCCTAGACAATGTTCCATATGCACTTGAAAAGAATGTATATTGGTTTTTTGGGGATGGTAATGTCCTGAAAATATCAATCAAGTCTAACTGTTCTATTGTGTCATTTAGTATCTCCATTGCCTTATTTTCTGTCTGGAAGACCTGTCCAAAGATGTTAGTGGGGTGTGAAAGTCTCCTACTATTATTGCATTCCCATCAATTTCTCCCTTTACATCTGTTAGTATTTGTTTTATGTATTTAGGTGCTCCTATACTGGGAGCATACATTTTAATGAGTATAATTCTTCATCTTGTATTGCTCTTTTGATCATTATATAGTGTTCTTTATTTTTCTTCATGGTCTTTGTTTTAAAGTCTAATTTGTCTGATGAGTATTGCTACTCCCGCTTTCTTGTCATTTCCATTTGCATGAAATATCTTTTTCCATCCCCTCACTTTCAATCTATGTGTGTCCTTCTCCCTAAAGTGGGTCTCCTGTATGCAGCACTGTAGGCTCATTTTATGATTCAATCTGCTTCTGTGTCTTTTGATTGGAGCTTTTAGTCCACTGACATTTACAGTAATTATTGATAGATATGTTTATTGTCATTTTAAACCTTGTTTTCCAGTTGATTTTGTATTTCTTCTTTGTTCCTTTATTTTTCTTTTGGTTTTTCCTTCTGCAGTTTGATAATTTTCTTTTGTATTGGCTTGATTTCTTTTCTTTTTAGTTTCTGTGACTATTGCATGCTTTTGATTTGTTGTTACTCTGTTTTTCCATTACTTTATCTATTTGCTTTAGACTGGTAATCATGTAGGCTCAAACACATCCTAAAAAGAATGAAAAAAAATTGGTATTTCTTGCTCCCCTCACCCACATTTTATGATTCTGATGCTCTCTTTTACATCTTCATGTTTATTCTTTTGTTGTTCACCATAGTTACTGCATTTCTAATTGTGATTTTTCTTTTTTAAATAGATTCCTGCTTCTTTTCAATTTAGAGATCTTTCAATACTTCCTTTAGGTTAGGTTTAGTATCACTGCATTTAGTTTTTGCTTGCCTGAGAAATCCTTTTTCTTGCCTTCTTCTAAATGCTAGTCTTGGTGGGTAATGTATCCTAGGTTGCAGATTTTTCTCATTCAGAACTTTGACTATATCTTGCCACTCCCTTCTGACCACCAATGTTTCTGTAGAGAAATCAGCTGATAGCTTTATGGGGGTTCCCTTGTAACTAACTCTGTTTTTCTCTTGCTTCCTTTAGAATCATTTTTTTTTAAACTTTGACCATCTTAATTATAGTATGTGTTGGTATAGGTCTGTTTGGGTTCACCTTATTTGGGACTCTGTGCTTCCTGTACTTGGGTATCTGGTTTGCTTCTTTAGGTTTGCAAAGTTTTCAGTCATGATTTCTTCAAACGCATTTCAGTCCCCTTTTCTCTTTCTTCTCCTTCTGGGACTCCTACGAGTGTAGATTGGCATGCTTTGTATTATTCCATAGGTCTCTTAAATTGCTTTCTTTAGTTTTCATTTGCTTTTCTGTCTGCTGTTCTGATTGGGTGATTTCTGTTATTCTGTCTTCAAAATCACTTGTTCATCCTTCTGAATTATTTAGTCTGCTATTGACTGCCTTTAGCTCGGGTTTTATCTCAGAAGTTGAGTTTTCTGATTTTAACTGGCTCCTCTTTACAGTTTCTATTTCCTTTTTATAATATTCTTTATTTCTATTGATAGCCTCTCATTTCCTTCAGTGCTTTTACCATCTCCTCTTTGAACTCAAGTTCTGGCAAACTGTAGAGGTCTATTTCAATGTTCTTTCTTTCAGGGGATTTCTCTTGTTCTTTTCATTGGTAGTGGTTCCTCCGCTTTTTCACTTTACTTACATTTCTGACTCTGTGAATTGAGGTATCACAGTGGTCTTGAAGAGCTGTTTTTACATGGGAGCGTCCCTGTGTAGACCATGGATGTCTCATAATTTTGCCGTGAGAGCTGTTTTAGTGTGGGTGGCTGCCACATGTTTCCTCTGTGTGTGCTGACTGTTATCCCCATGATTGGGATGTGATTTGGGGGTGTGGTGACCACAGGCTGCACTGGATGTTGAGTGTGTTCTCCTTTTTGCTCTGTCATCGTTACGACCCTGAAAGGGACCAGGTCTGCTCCCCTGTTGTTGGAGGCCCCAAGATCCATTTCTAAGTTGCGACGTGAGGTAGGCAGGACCGGGGCACTTCTGCTGGGAGAGGAGTCTCTAAGCATTCCTCTGGAGATGTCCACTGGGAAGCACCCTCTGTGGTGTCCCCTGTCACTCATGCGGGCTTACAAAGTTTACTTTGTTAAAGCTGCCCTTGTCCTACCTTGGCTGGGAACCTGCCCTGGTATCCCTTAGGCTCTGTGCTCAAAGTCACCAGTTCAGATCCACTGATGTCAGGCACCAGGACCTGCTATAGTGCACGTGTAGTCATGCATTTGGATCCACCATGGGCAACAGGGTCAACCCAGGCCCCACCCACACCTCCACATACACATACCTGCTATCAATGTCAGACTTGCCCCTACTGTGCACCAGTATTCTGCTCAGATGTTCCACATGCTGAGTTTATAAAGGCACCAGTGGAGTAAATCTGCCACAGCCACTTGGAGCTCGACTAAAATTTCAGCCACACCTGTGAAATCACGTTACCCCTGGGAATGGGTCCAGGTTTCAGCTGACAGCTCTGCCTCTGCCTGGGAGCTGCCCACCTGCGACTGTGCCCCTCCAGAGCAAGCTGAGAAGACTACTATGTCTGGATCCAACTCTCTTCTCAAAAGAACACATTAACAATGGGGTGGCGCAGCAACACCCTCTGGGGTAGCAGAGGAGGCTGCTATGGCCAGCTGCACCGCACCCCTCTCTCCACGTGCGTCAGCAGTGGAGATTTCTATGGTGAACCCAGGTGTTATACACACGCTCGCAGCTTCTGCCCACACCACACTCCAGACCCCTGTGCTCAGTCAGCCTCAGGCCTTTTCCAGGGTCTGTCCTCTGAAGCCCGACCCCCAGCACCGAGTACCGGCCTGCACCAGCCAGCTCAAGTCTCAGGCTACGGATCACATGAACCCTCTGTGCTGGTTTCTCTCTGTTCTGTCTGCTTTCTCCTCCAAGCCTCTGAAATCCTCTTCTGTCCCAGTTCACCTCCCCACTGGAGAGGGGGCTCTCTAGGGTGAGGGAACTTTTCCTCCTTTGCCACTCCCTCCTTGGGGGACAGGTCCTGCCCCAATTTCCTTTTTCTTTTATCCTACCAGGTTTGTCCAATTGTACAAGATTATCTGCCAAAGTTCAGTAGGGATTCTGTGAGAACTGTCCCACATGTAGATGTATTTTTGATGTACTTGTGGGAGAGGAGGAGTTCTGTGACTTTCTATTCCGCATTCTTGAAGCCCTTCCTCATTCTTTCCCATAGCTGAGTAATAGGCCATTGTATACATATACCACAACTTCTTAAGCCAATTGTATGTTGATGGGCACCTGGGTTGCTTCCACATCTTGGCTATTGTAAATAATGCTGCTATGAACATTGGGGTCATACACCTTTTCAATTTAGAGTTGTTTTTTTTTCCTGTAGTGGAATTGCTGGATCATATGGTAAGTTAATTTTTAGTTTTTAAGGAACATCCATACTGTTTTCCACAGTGGCTGCACCAGTTTACATTCCCAACAGTGCAGAATTCACTTTTCTCCACACCCTCTCCAGTATTTATTACTTGCAGAATTTTTGACAATAGTCATTCTGACTGGCATAAAGTGATACTTTGTTGTGTTTTTGATTTGCATTTCTCTAATAATCAGCGATATTGAGCATCTTTTCATGTGCCTGTTGACCATATGTATGTATTCTTTGGAAAAATGTCTATTTAGGTCTTCTGCCCATTTTCTGATTGGGTTTTTTTTTTTTTTTTTTGAAACTGAGTTAGATGAACTGCCTGTATATTTTGGATATTAACCCATTGTTGGCTGCATCATTTGCAAACAACGAAAACAGAAAATCTTAAAATTCTTCTACTTTCTTACTCTAACCAAAAACAAGCTCCCTTATTACTTAGTTGTCAAAATGGTCTAAATCTTTAAAAACTACATTTTGATAGTGCAGGCGTAGGTCTGTACTTCACTGAGTCTAAGAAAGCTGCTAAGGTGAACACACAAAAAAGTACTACAGGTGCACTGTTTAGTCAGTAAAAGTTCAGGGGTGCCCACTAATCTTTTAGTTACAAAACATAATGTAGCTTACTGTTGCGCTGTATACATTATCAAAATAAGAAAGGATCACTACAGACAGAACACAGGTGTTGTTAAACTAAGGAAGCAAGGAGACTCATGGGGGCTTTATCTCTTTAAAAACTGACCCGTTGTCCCCAACCCTGGATTTAGAATCTCTCACAGTGAGTCCTGGGTACCAGTGGGAACAGTCTGCTTCTCTCAGTCTAGGGCAAAACGGTCAAGAATCACTGCATTGAAGCATCAAAAGTTTATTACTTAACAGGCAATAAACTACAGATTATCAACAGGACCAAAGATGTAATACTTCTCTAGTTTATGGGGAAAATGTAAATTTCTCTGAAAGCTCTTGATAATCTTAAAAATTCAACAGAAAAATAACTACTGTACTGTATTCAGATACAGAAATACTTCTTTGCTCCAGCCTTGAAGTTTAAAAATTCCTTTCCAACATGAAGCACAGGCAGAGCTAAGGAGGACGATGGGGACACGTGTACTACTCACAGACAGTAACTCCTCTGGCTTTCTCCAGCATCGTTAAATCGTAAGACACAAAAGGTTCTGAAGACTATTACACAACCAGCAGCGACGGCAGCCTAACACTTCCTGAGGGCTTAGCAAGTTTTAAGCCATACTTTATCTTCTTGTTTAATTTCTACAACCACCCAAACGAAACACATAATTCCGTTTTATAGAGGAAGGAACCAAAGCTTAGAACTTAAATCACTAGTCCAAGGATATGCAGTAAGGTAGGTGGTGAGTCCAGGATTTGAAAACAGGCATGGCTGACTGTAAGGCCTGCATCCTAATCCCCCACTACAGGCTCTTGATCCATGATTAGAAAATGCATGACTTTACCCGCTGTATTTAATACTAGATAGCACACTTAAATATACTGAGAAGCATTTTGAGTCTAAGGGGAAAAAGCTGGGTACCTATAAGAAGTTATCAAAATTTTTTCTATTTTATTTCATTGACTCATTTTAAATGAATACTGGTAAAAATATGGTGTCTCTCTATACAAACATGAACAGAAAGCAAAAGGTACATACTGATTAACTTCCCCGCCATGTCCTTGTTGGACCGGGACTCCTTGGGGTGCTTGTACAGATACATCACTGCTCGTCCAATCCCGCTGTGCTTCAGGGTCTCCTGGCTCACACTCGGTAGCTGGGGAACAGAAACACACACATATTAATCACTCAGAAGCTGGCACTCTGCCAGTCTACTCTAGAGGGCCCCCAGGAACTGGTTCATTCACAACAGAACAAATAACAAAAAAGTTTCATTTTCAGGACCTACACACACTGAACACAAAGGTACTTTGTGTTTGCATCAGGAGTTGAAAGCTCAGTACCACCACTGAGTTGAAGTAAAACAATGTGAGAAACTGTAAACTGAGCATCCTTGGAGGTTACTGGTTTAAAGTGTCAGCACAGGCCTCCGAAGAAAACAGACCAAAATCTGAACCCAAGCACAGCCTGCTGCTAGCTATGTGACCTTGGACAAGTCATTTAACTTCCCTGGGTCTTAATTTCCTCATCTGTAAAATGGAGACAATACATCTACCTTGCAAGTTTGTTGTGAGGAATAAATGAACATTTTATATACACATATACATTAAAAAAAATAAAAACACCTAGCATATAAAAGGTACCTTGGGAATTCCTTCGGAAGTTAAATAGCTTGCCCAAGGTGTCAAAGCCACATAAAGGTGGCCCAGATCAAGATTCAAATGCAAATTTATCTGCTGGTGAAGTTGGTGCTCTTTCTCCTTCGAGTGACTCCTAGAACATGTCTACTTTACACTACTCTTCTCAGATAAACCACAGCTACCCCAAGACCTCTTTCCTTCAATACTATAGTTACATGAAGTTTTAAAAGGCCTTCTTTTGATGCCCATTTTATCTGGTATATTCCTAATAAACATATCTAATAAAGCTCCTCTTCTGACAGGCTACAACATAAAGAATATATGGAAAAAATACAGAGGTTATGGTAACACAAACCACATTAGATAGTTAATGAAGAGCAAACAAGTCAGATTATCTCCCTCTAACCTCTTGCAGAATCTTCAACAGCTCTTCTCGAATCTTTAGTGCTGGCAAACTCCTGTCTGGCAGAGGGGAGAGCCACTCTTTGATGGCAGACATCACACCACTGTCAATAAATGTTTCTTTAAGGTCCTGCCTGTAACAGTAATAATTGGGAAAAAAAAAAAGTCAAGTCTATGAATGTTGGTTCTACTGTAGCTTCCTTTGGATTTTCTTACATATTTAGTGATGTTTCCAAAACTTGCTTTTAAAAAGCTTCTCATATACATCATTTACTGAGCACCTATTCATAGATTTCAACAGCAATATGAAATTTAGTTCCTGTTTTCAAGAAGCAAATTTGGTAAGGCAAAGATGATTTGCTGAAAACCAAAAAAAACCCCAAACCCCAAATTATACAAGGTAGGCTAATGCTGTTACAAATGGTACCAACAGTAAGAATGAGCTCTAATTATTATAACAACAAAAATGTTTAATCTTTGAGAACAGTGGCCTTCAAACTCTTCCAAGTGATAGAGGATCCAGAACTGTGCTACTCTTTGCAGGACACCTGGGAGAATCCCATGACATATATTTGAAATCTGGCACAGATAACTCTGTCTGCTGGGACACAGGCAGCAATTTTCTAGTAGAAAGTCCTAGACCATGGCTCGTTGGCGTACTAATGCATTTCCTCAGCCATCAAAAGTAGGCCATGGCTAGGTTCAAGGAGAAGTCAAAGTCGCTCAGGAATGGGAGCAAACCAAAACCAATGAAAGATCCTGCAGAGGCACCACTGACACAATCTGTGATACAACAGGACACACGAGCCTTGTACAATACGTGCTTCAACTAGTCTCCCAGGATTCATTCTGTCTCAATCACATTGGGAAAATGATGCGATTTTACCACACTCTAAACAATCCATAAAGAACAAAATTAGTGGTTTTCAAGGTTTTTCCTTCCCATTAATATCAATTTGCTATTTGTTATTTGCATCAGGCATCAAAGTTTAAGAAAAATTTGGAAGTAACATAATTAAGGAAATTCTAGTCATCATTATTTTTGCGAATTGACAGAAGGCAATCATTCTTTAACATCTCCAGAACGCCAGTACACAGTTTTGATATTATTCCATTAAAAGGAAAGCATTTTCCCAAGAAAACAGAATACTTACTTCTTAAGGTGCATGACCACAGTAGGTAATAATGTTAATTTTTTCAGTGCTGGCTTTTTTTGATTATTCAACTGTCTGTCTTCCTACCCAGTAAGAAAAAGATTTAAAAAAAAAAAGCAAAACAAAAAAGCAATTGTTAATAGTGAATTATAACCACAATATATTTTAAATATAATAAAGCAGCAATTTCTCTAAGAATCTTCAATTTTTCCTTGAGGAAAGAATAACTAAATAAAGAATAGATTTTTTTGTAGTGCCCAAACCCACAAAACTGTTAGAATTAGTTTTAACAACTATAAATCAAGTGGAACAATTTTTTCGGGGTGGGAGAGGTAATTAAGCTTTTTTCTTTCATTTTTTTTTAATGGAGGTACCGGGGATTGAACCCAGGACCTTGTGCATGCTAAGCACACTCTCTCAACTCTGAGCTATACCCACCCCACAAGTGGAACAATTTTAATTTAAAACACTGGCATAACTGTCGAGTTTTCAAAGAATTCAGTCAAGGTACATATTATACATGGAAAAATTTGGTTAATGTCAGGAATAATTTTCCAGCTATGAGGCTTGTAAGAAAGATAACAGAATACGTTATTAGGGTTTTAGTATTTTCTTGGGTATTTTTTCCCTACTTTTTCAATTATAAAAAAATTTAAATTCTGTCAAGATAGAAAACAAAATAATAAAACTCCTGTCTTATACATTTCTACAATTAAACACACAAGACTAGTCTTATTTTAGCCATCTCTCTAGCTACTTTTCCCTTCACCCTTGAATTATTTTGGAACAAATCCTAGACATGTTATCACTGGATTCATGAATACTTCAACAAGTGCCTCTAGAAGATCAGGACTTGTTTTTAAACATAATACCTAGCCAAATTTTTACCATTTGAGAATTTTAAAATGCAACAAGTTAAATGTAATCTCTTGATCAGAATGACACATGAGCATATAACATAATGAACATGAGTTTATAATTTTTATATGTGAAAAAACATCACTTTGTTGTAAACCAGCCAAACCTGAGAGCAAAATCACCCCCTAAAAAACGAGCAAAGCCACTCAGCTAAAAGGGCTCATTTTATTTAATACTTAGTCTTTTCATCTTTTCCCTAAGCACATGGCTGAAAAATTGAAAGTACTTCTATTCTTAAAATTTAGAACAGTAAATATTATTATAAAAAACAAAGTAATCTTACTGTAGTCCAAACAAAGATTAAGCCTAAACAATCCCCATGACCAATTCCATGGGAGAAGACAAGGCAGCGGAGCCCCGTCTCACCTCGGCCGCTTCATTCATCTTGACGATCATGGCGCTCACGACGTCGTCTGCGTCACTGATAAAAGTGCCCCCATCGCGGTTACGCCTACGCTTGCCACTCATGCTCTTTTTCCGCTGCAGCATCATCTCAAAGTCCGACAGGAAGTCCATGCTAAGCAGCAGCACAAAATCAAGTGAAATACAAATGCCCTTTTAAATACACTCCCTTTTGTCACAGTGAAGAACCACCCACTTTCCTAATTCTAATTCGTTGAAGTGCACTTCCTTTCAAAGTGAATGGACTTTTTAAAAATTGCTTTTGCCAGAACGTGTGGTCATAGATTTTATGCTCAGCTTTTGCACGACCCCAACTGTTATACATTAAATACTGCTGGCCTAAACTTTTCATAAACTGTGTCCACACTTGCATGTATCAGCCCGAGAATGAACATTTCAAACCTCAAGTTCTCATTCAGGGAACACTGCCTGCCACTCCACGGTTCAGCTTTAGTTGCATTGCCTTATGTGGGGGAACAGAGTTGGTGTTCAATCATTTGAATATTTTTGTCTTTTATAGCAAAAGCAGAAAAAAGAAAAACTGCCGTTTTTTCAGTGGTAAGAAGTATAATTCTCAAAACATGATGTAACTGAGATAAAGATGGAAATCTACAAACCTGCTAAGAGCTTACAGCTTCCCCCTGAATTTGTATATTTAATGAGGCAACTAACATGCTGTCTGCCACTGTCATGTAAGTTAGAAAATATAATTTATTTACGTTAATTTCCAAAGGTATCGTCAAACTCACTCGGCTTAATTCTTGCATGTCACTAGGAATTAAGAAGGAAACTATTTTTTAAAGCATCGTCTTTACAACTATAAACAGCAACAAACAAATCATTCTATGTGTGGCAGATTTTAAGACACCAGGTTTTTCTGAATAGAGTCAAACCATCTCAACAAAAGTACATGAAATACAATCAATTAACATTTTGTATCTAAAACTTCCCCTACCCCGGGAGCCCCAAATCAGCTTTCTCTCTTCCCCAAAAAAGTTTTTGTTAGGTTATCTTCAGAAGAATCTACTTGATGAGATATAAATGAAAACCCTGGCACCACATGGCTCCACAAATTCAGACAGCTGATTACAGGGCAAATGAAAGAAAAATCACAACAGCTAATGATTTCTGGTCAGCACTGTACACAGAGAAGCAGAAGGGAGGGAAAAAATGGAAGAGACTTTCCTGTACTTCATCAAGAAAACAAAGTTTGGTGGTCTCTACCTTCATTTTTAAAGGTCACTTTAATAAAACCCTTAAAAAAATAAAATAGAACAAACTTACTGTTTTCCTCTCTTAATGTTATCATCAGAATCTGAATCTTCTGCTTCTTTTATCTGTGTTTCACTTTTTTCTTCTTCCAAATCTTCCTGGTTAAAACCCTAAGGGCAGGGTAAGTTAGCCAGAGTTATTACAATTTCATCATAGATTCTCTTCTGTGACTGCACTTAATCTTTTGCATTTTTAAAGTAATACATTCATAAAGAACACAAATTAAGTAGAAATCAAAAGATATATATATCAAAAAAGCCCCCCTCCACTCCAGCCATCAGTGTTATTAGTTTGTGTCCTTCCAGAAACAGCCTACATTTATAGAAGCATTTCTACACCCATATATTTACATAACACCCTTCTATTATACAAAAGATATCACGCTATACACACTGAATACAGGACACTGTTCTGCACTTTCCACATTTAACAACAGAATCTGGAGACCAATTCATATCAGCATAACGTAGCTTCATTTTTTTTTTAAGGCTTTAGACAATTTCACCATAAAACTGCAACCATAATTTATACGTTTCCCTACTGACATTTAGGTCTGTGTATTTGTCTTCTATAGAGGTTATACCAATTAACTCTCCTTTCAGCCATGCACAAATGAACCAGGCTCCCCCCACCATCTTGCTACTATAGCTGGCTATCAAGCACTGGTATTTGCAATCTCTGGACTGAAAATCAAAAGGCATCTCTGTAGCTTTCTTTGCATTCTCCTATTATGAGTAAGGCTGGGCGTCTTTCATGCTTTAAAAGCCATCTGTTACTATTTCTCTGTGAACTCTTAACATTTCATGCCCATTTTTCTGTTGCATCTCTGTCTTATTAGCATGGAAAATCTTAAAAATTAGGGAAATTGGCCCTTGCCATGTGACAGGCACGGCACAGTCCTCACACCTGTACGGTTTGATTTTAAAGTAATGCTTTCCAGGCATAGTATTTTTTGTGTAATTGAAATGGTCAGTCTTTTCTTTATAGCTTCTAACTTTTGTCTTATACCTAGAAAAGTCTTCCTAATGGTTCACCTAGTATATTGTTTATCTCATTGAACTGAACGTATAACCAAGTTAATGTCACTCTCCACACTAGAGAAACACATCCTATTCTTGAAAGATGTTGCTTAACTGAGTATAAGCCACATAAGGGCAATGTCCAAACTATTTCTGACACACAGGCTCTCAAATATTTGTTGAATTAATTCTTCTTTTCTATAGGTTTACTTTGTCTTTCTACCATCTTGAATTAAATTCTAAATACATCTTCTTCATTCTCTCTTTAAATTTCCGGGTGGCGAGGTTTTGTGTTTTTTAAAATATTTTGTCTATCATTGTATTATTTAATTATTTTTATTTTGGCAGGGAGAGGTAATTAGGTTTATTTATTTTCAGAGGAGGTATTGGGGATCGAACCCAGGACCTTGTGTATGCTAAGCATGTGATCTATCACTTGAGCTATCGCCTCCCCGCAACGATGATGTCACTTTTGTCCCGAAAGGAATGCTGTTTGCATATGCCAGGTCCCTGAGACCTGATCAATGGGGTAAGAATCATTACAATCAAATTTCTGAGACTGAGGTTCTCCATGTTGCTAGAGGACTCAAAGCTGGCCTCAAATCTGAGTGAAGGCTATTTTAACTTCCAGTTCACCCTTAATCCCAGGAATCCCAATCCAGAGGTTCTCAGGGTCGCTGACCTCCAGCTTTTGTCTCTCGAGCCTTGAGGCAATCAAAACTACATCCAGCCTCTCAGCGTAAATAGGTGACCATCCCAGAAAAAGCAGTTCTAAACGCTGAGCTTACCTTTTAAGGTTTCTACCTTTGGCTGGTTTTTGGCTTAGTAATTCTTTGTTATCTTGTTCATAACAATGATGAGCAGATTTTTCAAACATTCTGTCCAGCTTCTGCAGTTGTCCTTAGCAGGAGGGTTGGTCCAGATTACGTCACCCACGTTGCTATAATTCGAAGTACCATAACTTCCTGTCTCTCTCTTTAGCATAGAAGCGCCTTTCACTGTCTCTCAATGTGTTCCTGCCTCCCCTTAACTCAATTTTGCCTGTTACTCTCCTTTAAGCCTTTGTAGACTCGCTTATTCCACCTTCTGAATCCCTCTGCTTCAGAGTTTTCTAGTGGCTACATCAGAGCTGTTTATTTCTACTCATTGGAATAACCTATTAGAGACCCACTGCCACAAAAAACAAACAGGCACAGCCAATGAGGAAATACTTCCACCATATACTTACTGTAAATTCTTCTTCCTCTTCATCACCAGATTCTCCAAATATGTCTGCAATAAGATTTCTAGAAAAGAATGAAACATAAAAAACTGTCATTTACTTCCTTCTCATCTGCATAGGAACCGTAAGTCATTTTCCAACAGGGTATAATTTAAATACAGTGAAAGGTGCAGATCTCAAGTGTCCATTTCAATGGGTTTTGATGAAAGTACACATTCATGTACTCGTTACCCTAATCAAGACATAGAACAATTCCCTCTCCCCAGAAAGTCCCCTTGTGGCCCTTTCTAGTCAGTCCCCCACACCAACATCCTGCAGGCGACCACCACTCTGATCTCCATCATCACAGATCAGCTTCGCCTGTTCTGGACCTTCACCCTAGTGATACCAGACATGTCCTCTCTACTTCTTGGAGATAACATGTTTGAGATTCACCCATGTTGAAGTGTGTGGTGACCGTTCAGTAACTAAAATCCCGAATCCCTCAAAGTCATGCGATTAGGCGAGGTATACTGTTACTACACAGCAACACGGAACTTTAACACAAGTTTACAAAACTTGAAAGACAAACCCCTCTGGACCCCCTTCCCCGAACCCTTGGAAGTTCACGTTACGCTGGCACTTACTCTTCCTCATTCCCTGACTCACTGTCACTCCCAAACAGGTCCTTCTCTTCATTTTTCTTGTCAGACAGCTCTTCTTTCCCTGCTTCTTCTTCACTGTCAGAGGCTATTGCCTTCTCTCTTTTTCCTGACTTGTCGGATATAACATCACTGTCAGAGTCATCTGCATCAGAGACAACTCGACTCTTCTTTGCTGCTGGTGAAAAAGAAAATTATCATTAGTCTAATTCCACCCTAGTAACTGTATCAGTCAGTACAGCAGGTGCTTTAAGGCAGAAATCAAAGGCCTCCTGACACATAGTTTAGAATTAAAACAAAACAAGAACAAAATCTAAACTAAAAGATTCATTCAGAGTCGTCTTACAATTACCTGCTATTGTTTAGGAAAAAGTGGCCAAAAGATCAAGAATAAATCATCAACATAAAAGCGGGTATCGATAGCTACCTGTCCTCTTGGGGAACAGAGAAAGAAAGACTAAACTGAGGTGTGGGATTAGGACCCCTTTAAGCTGCCTGGTGTTAGCAGAACTGAAAAGGCCTGAAAAGGATGTTCTCCTGTGGAATGCCCATCTTCCTCAACCGTCCAGCTATGCTCATCCTGGCCTTCTCATCTCCCTCGGTAACCAGCACACGCGGTCCTCTCTCTCCTTCTCCTGTAACAATTGTCGGGTTCTAAGGAGCTACAGCTTTTCCAAAAAAAAATATTTCACAAAAAGTAATCTAGTAGTAAAGACTGGAATCCTCTGCAGAGACGTGGAGTCTCTAAACAGAGCCCCTCACAAACTGCCTTGAATTTGGACATTCAACAAAAGTTGAACAGAGGAAGACAGGTACCCGTGGGGGCTCAGTCACTGGATGGGATGGAGGGCTTCAGCTGTCAAAGACCCACAGCTAAGTCTCGGTACAGCTGGGTTTTCATGTAAACACATTTCTTTGAAACCGTATCCTTTCCAGCAAATGAACAAATAAAAAACAAAACAAAAACCACCCAAACTAACAACAAAACCCCATAAAGTTTTTCACGCTGCCACTGCAACTCAGTCTGGTTTGTCACCTTGGGGCCGCCAGAATTTAACACGTGCTGTTAGAACAACTCAAAGGACATCTAACATTAAGATCAGCCAATGGAAAACCAGTGTTCTGGTGGTATTTCAGAACGCAAACCTGAATGAGAATACAGATCTGACAGTCCAGAAAAGGAAATACCGCTTCCCACCATCAGCTTAGACAGTAAGCAGAGCTCTGGATATACAGCCCCAACAATTCCTTACATGCTTTCTCCTCATCTTCACTGTCGGAAAGCACAGCGGCTTTTCGCTTTGCTACTTTCTCCTCCTCCCCTTCTTTTTCCTCCTCCTCATCACTGTCGATTTTGGGCCTTTTAGGTCCCTCCTCCTCGCTGTCAGAACTGCTGAGCCGTTTCCGGTCCACACGCGCGTCTGAGAGAGAGGACGCGTTCTGTGTTTCCGCGTCCTCCCCCTTGTTCTCCCCATCACTGTCCTCGTCGGAGCCCGGCTTTGCTTTGTGTCGGGAGGCATCCTCGGTTTCTGAATCACTGGCAGGCCCCTTCTGGGGCCCCTCGCTCTCAGAGTCACTGACTTGGGGTTTGGGAAGTTCCTCATTTTCAGAATCACTGGCCTGGTTCCTCGGGGGGTCTTCACTTTCTGAATCACTGACTCGGGGTTTGGGAAGCTCCTCGTTTTCCGAGTCGCTGGCCTGGTGCCTCGGCGGGTCCTCACTCTCGGAGTCACTGACCCGGGGCTTGGGAAGCTCCTCGTTTTCAGAGTCACTGGCCTGAGTCCTCTGAGGTTCCTCACTCTCGGAGTCACTGACCCGGGGTTTGGGAAGCTCCTCACTTTCCGAATCACTGATCCGGGGTTTGGGAAGCTCCTCATTTTCAGAGTCGCTGGCCTGGTGCCTTGGGGGCTCCTCACTCTCGGAGTCACTAACTTGAGGTTTTAGCGCGTCCTCTGTTTCCGAGTCACTGGCGGGACTCTTTGGGAGCTCGTCACCCTCGGAGTCACTGGCAGCGTGCTTTGTAACGTCTTCATTTTCGGAGTCACTTGCGTGCCCATTAAGAAGTTGCTCGTTTTCAGAGTCACTGGCCGGCAGCTTCCGGGTCTCCTCGCTCTCGGAGTCGCTCCCATGGCGACTGGGGCCCCCGTTTTCAGAATCACTCGCAGGTGGCTCTGCATGCTCTTCAGACTCGGAGTCGCTGTCCTTCTGCCTCTGGAGCTCCTCACTTTCCGAGTCACTGGCGTTGAGGTTGGATGGCTCCTCGTTCTCCGAGTCTGTTGCAGGATGTCTTTTGTTGAGGCCATCTTCTCGATCACTAGGTTCATTCTGAAACAACAAGGGAGAAAACACTGGAAAAGTGCAAAACAAGTTTGGCAGTAGAAATGGTAAAAAATTTCAACTATTTCTTTAAAACATAGGAATATACATACTTAAATGCAGAATTCTGGTCCTATACCTATACAGAAACGCCCCACTTTAAGGGAGGCCATTTATCTGTGAAATGGCTAACATGGTCTAGCCCCCAAAACGGGGGAAAGATAATCCGTCTTCACCAAAACTGTAAAGCATGTGCACCCCAGATAACTACACAGCACACCTATATTTTGAAGAGCTAGATTAAAAGACAATTACAACAAAATCCCTAACTTTCTCATATAACTCTAGCTCTTAAATATATTTTTCAAATAAATACAAGCAAACATGTACTCAAGTTCTTTTAAAAAGGAGCCTCCCTGGGTTTTATAAGGCAAGAATCATTTTAAGGGAGAGAACTAGGCTTCCCTGGCAGTCTCCTCTTTCCAATGGGCGTTTTCATGATAAGAAAACTGAGGCTCAGACTGAGCAATATGGTCATGCATCCAGCAACCCTGGCACAAAAGTTTCAGTTTTACAGAAAACACTGATCAATCTATATACTAACTTAGAATGTTACGTGAAATAATCTGAAAACTCTAAGGGTACCAATATATAAGCATATTATAGCTATGTTTTTCAAAATGCAGAGAGAAATACACAAAACTAAACATTCCCAAATGCTAATAACCAGAATATCAGAAGTTGTTTCCCTTGTACTATCTGAACTTTCAGTCACGTAGAAATTATTGGCTTTAAAAAGTGAAGATACTTCTGTGTTTGAGTTTTCCTCTTTAAAAATTTACTGAACCAAACATTTCTCTTTAGAATATATGACTGACATTACCTGAGCTTACCACAGATCAATTTTCAAGGAGCAAAGTACATGCCCACCATATCATGCAATGAAATAATTAGTAGGAAAATATGGTGACAAGCTAAATGGCGTGAAAATGTTTTCACAAAACCCATACTCTGATTTGCTGCAGGCTCATTTAATGAAGATTAAGTATGCTGTGTCTACAACGTCAAAAAAAAAGTACAAAAAATTACAAAATAAGCTTATAAAAGTTTCAGGGTTTTTCCCTTCCATATTTTACTACCATCTTGACAGCACAGAGTTCATAAGTAACAGTAACTGTGATACATATTCATTCAAATATAACATATTCAGGAAACTTTCTAAAATCATAAACTTTTCAAATTTCCCAAAGGTATTTTTCTTTATCACAGCATATCACTGGATTCCTCATTAGTCATAAATCCCATTATCCCAATTAAACTGGCATTTATCTATTAAATGGCATATTAGGACAAGAGAAATAACACAGAATCTTGTGATACAGTACCATACTCCACATATTGCTAAAAGCTTACTTTTGGCCATACGTCATAATTTAATTCTTTTATATTTTAAAAGACTACAGATGGGAAAATTAACTGTCTAGAACGTAAGCTCTAAGAAGGCAAGCATTTTGGGGGTCTCCTTTTTTCACTGAGAAGGCACATTCTATGCTTCAGAGCACAGAATGGTGGCTGGTATATAAAAAATTCACAGTAAGAATTTGTTGAATGAATAATAAAGCAGTTAATAAGAATAATTTAAAGCGAGGAATAGTTAACTCAAGTATTTGTTTAATGTCTACTGTGTGCAAGGTGCTAGGAATCAAGGCTTAACATGTCTCAGTCCTGAACTTAAGGAACTACTGTCTAATGAGCCAAACACATCACAATACAGCGTACTACGCACTCTTAATAATGAAGGTAAGAGTGATAAGCTAAGAGCCGACAGAAAGTGGTCTATATGAGACTGAGCTATGAAAGGTGGGTAGACGACGGGTATTTGCAATTAGTTTGTGATAACTGAGTTATTAAGATGTTAACTACATTACTGGGGACAGAAGGCGAACCATGCAGGTACTAAACCTAAAGGCAACTAGAGCAGGAGGCAAAAAGGAAAACTGTAGCCAGCTTTTGGGATGTTTTCCATGGCACACCCATGACACAACTCTCTAACGACATGCTCGTGTGTGACTCGATTTATTCTAGCTGCCAACAACAGAAATTATCTCATGTTAGTTCCAGGAAATAAAGAACAATCTTACCAGAATGAAAGTGCAATGAATGGCTAAAGCCTCTAAGGTAGGAACTCATGCAGCTCAGACAGCTTAGAAAAGGAAATGTAAAGGACCTTTCACTACAGCACAATCAGTAACATGACACAGCTCTCAGCACACTAAATTTCAGTGCCCAGGAACTAAATTTTAAATCCCCAGGAGACAAGATCTAACTGGTCATGGCAATAGAGTATGTCTTGACTCCAAGGCTCAGTGGGTTACAGTCAGAGCAGAGGATCAGCACTGGGAGCCTCTCGCAAAGGAAGGAGAGATACCATGACCTTGGCAGTGATTCCAAAACTTATCTGCTACACTCTACCCTAGATTTGCTAACACATGGTGTATGCATTCCAAAACAAGCAACCATAGCAAGGATGTTACATATGATGATTGTGAAACTTACGAATTCCCATCAATTTTTTCATAAAAACCTGGCATAGTGGGAAAAAAGAAGGAAATCACAGCAGGAAGAAAGTACCGGGCGACAGATTCAAGTTAGAGAATGCACTTAGGTGAAGACATCATAGGATTTGGGAAAAGAGTAATACCTCACACCTCCCTCTTCCAATCATTCACCTTGTAGTTAAAACGAACTACTGGTGACAGATAATGAGTGATCTGGTCATTTATCTCAGCACATAAGCAGCAACACACTCCTTCCTGATGGACCAGCACCAGTCAAGCTACATACACACAGAGATAATGAACATTTTAAAATTGCGAAGTAAATAATGAAACTCCAACAGAACAGACATCAATTTGTAAATTTCAAAGTAGTATATGAATGTCAAATAGAAGTCCTTGTAAAGAACCAAACAACTCAACTAAGGAAGACACCTGCTTCTTCCTTATCCATTCAAAGAGCTAAACTCAAAACTGTTGAACTTGTATACTAACCTTTTATCATAAATTGGTAAAACATTTAGCACCAAGTCACACAGTAAATTCCTTGAGGAAATATCTTAGGCACGTTTTCAGAAACACACTTCACTGGACCTTAGTTCCAAAAGCTATATTTGAAATTCTCATCTTAGAGTTTGTCAATACACATCAACAGCATAAGAATCTGAGAAACCCAGTTTTCATTACACAATGCTGTTAATCCAGTGTAGTTTCTGCAGTGCCACAAGGTTCTGACTTGGAGAAACTCCAGTTTTACAGCAAGCATACACATAATAAGATGAAGCTATATACCAGAGTTCCTTTGTCAAAAGCTAGTTGATTTTAGAATCAGTCAAAAACAAAAGCACTCCTGATGAGTACTGGAAAAAGAAAATTTCTGCACAAAGCTTAAGAGTACCTAACGATGCAGCAAACGCCCGCCGACCCCTCCAGACGCATGTCTGCCTCTCACAGCAGCAGCCCCATGCACTGCACCAGCCGTTTCGAAACTTCTGAGAAAGAATCACTTGGGGAGCTTTGGTAAAAAACATACAGATTTTTGCACTTCTCACCTCCAGATATTAATACAGTAAGCCTGTGGAAGAGGTTAAAGAATCTATATTTTGACATCTAATCCAAGTGATTCTAACCACATGTTAAAATCTTACTGCAGACACAGAGAACTACTAACTTCACTGCGTCACCGCTATACTTTCACGCAGGCCACTCCCCTTGCCTAGAACATCCTTCATTCACCTCGTCCTCTTCATAGCTCAAGGCTGGGCAAAAATAGCCCCTCTTGAAGCTTCTTCCATCTTTCTTTCTAGGAAGAACGGACTTTCTGCAGTAGAATGTGATAATTCACTAAGTGGACTTTTGAGTCAATCTAAGATCTGGGGTCCAAACCTTAGGTGGGCCACCTTCTATCGTGTAATCGAGGGAAATTTTAACTTTCGAAGACCTCAGTGTCGTCAATCTGATGGAGCCAGGGATAGTATCCACACCTTAGAGGGCTGTTCTGAGGATCAAATGTATGTAAAGCATTTAGCACAGGGTCTGGGAGCATTCAGTAAACACTGTTAATCATTCACAACAAAATTTCTTGTTAATTACTAATTAATTACAGAACATTCACCCTTCAGGACTCAACTCACATACACTGTCTGTGCAGGCTGAGCTGGTCAGCCATTCCTTCTTCGTGTCCCCAAACCTCTACCTCACTGAAAGGTGACTTTTCACACATTTATCTTCACCATACACTGACCTTAAGGTCAGAGAACACTTTAAAAGTCGTTATCTTTTACAGTCAGTATACAGATGACACTCAAATTAAATTGACTAAAATAAAACAGAAACCCCACAAGACAATGCTTAACAGAAAGGAATCGAAGCAAAATAATGTTTGTCTCCTCAATCTGGCAGACTCAAAGACAAAGGCTGAAACCTAACAATGGATGTGCAGATGGAATCAAAAGAACCGGTGAGAAATAGGGCAAACAAGGACAGCAATGGCCAAGAAGAGTCTTGCAGGCGCTCTGAGCCTTCCCCGGAGGAACGCTTCCCCTGGACTAGACAACATCTTTGCAGAAAGTGACAGCAGATTGCCTCCTTCAGCCAATCCCAAGTTAGGATGGAGTTGGCAGGGCCGTCACCAACGTGGACCACAGGCAGCAGGTCATGTCCCCAAGGCTCTGCCTGCAGTCAGGACACAGCGAGAAGTGAGGCACCATTCCCAACAGGCTCGCACTCGGTGCTCCTGAGACACCAGGAGGGGACACTACTCTTCTACACAGGTGAAATCTATACACTTCTGGGTTTTAAAATGCACATGCCTGTCAATATACTTGCGCTGGACAAAAACCAGCTGACCACAATCCACAACTAATTTCATACTGTTCAAGTAAAACTACAAAAATCAGAACTGGCAACTAGTTATAACCAGGTCACATTCATGATCAGATTGCCTTATTAAAA